TGTTCTATGTGCACAGCAGTTGGGGTCGGGGCTTGTGGTCTTGTGGTGTAACAGGGGAATGAAAGAGTCTTTTAGCCTGGCTAGCCTTCATGTTTTCTGTGCAGTCAAGCTTAATAAACCAGATTAGAGGTTTGTTTGTTTGTTATCATTGTTGTTGTTTTTTAGCAGAGCCTGATCTGAGCTTACATTGTGCATGCATGAGAGCATTGGTGTCCGAACATGACTTACAGCAGTGTGGGACTAAAAGACTGACAAGCCGACAAGTGGGATAAGGGACATGTACAAGGCCGTAACAACACAGAAGAAACTGTCAGAAAGTCTGTGACAGACTAGCTGGTGAACTATGTCATTTCTAATAAAGATTACTGGATTTGACACATTTCCTTGCTATAAATCACAGCATAAATGGGCTCCATCATTGTGTCACACTGTCCTCATTTACCCTTTCCTCATGTGCAGCCACTGCTCTCATTGGTATTTAAGCTCTGCATTGGTTTGTTTTCTGCGGCTTTCTGTGCCGTTCCGTTTAGAAGACAGATAATGCTGCTGCCTCTGCATTGGTCCTTCTGTGTCACGCCTCATTCTCATTGGCTGCTGTCAGCCTCTGGTGCAGCCAGCCAGACAGTAGCTCTGCAGGCTTTAGTGATGGGCAGATTATACACAATGCATCACTTAACGCCCATTCTATATGGAGACATACTGTATATGAGATGTTAGTCGTAAAGTTTTTCCGCCAACCTTTTTATCTGGTTGCTTTATTTCTTTACATCTCTGTGGGAATTCTCTCTTTTAATTTTAGTCGTGTCAATATTAATCCTTTGGATTCAAACCTGTAACTGTACATGAAAAAAGAACGGAATTGAAAACACTATGCGTAAGCACAATTACTCCCACTATAGCCAATACTTTTCTGAGTGAGAATAATGTGCACACTTTACAAACATTAGTCACTTCCCCATTAATGAGCTCACTTCTGTGTTTTTCTACAGTTGCCTCATATGCACATGTAGTAGTGTGAAGTCCAAGAGAAAAAGACAGAAGTGTTTTCTAATTATTTACGGATGTAAAAATGCGTGCGCAGTTTCTTGGATGTCATCACATGTTTTGCATTTCAGATAAGTGAAAATGGAATAGTCTGAAAGAATAATGTGAATGCATGGATCATTGGATCATTATTTGATCACACATTTCACTGTGTGTACGTTGTGTAGAAATGAAAGATGCTGAAAAATGATTTAACTCAAATATTAAGATTTTGTAAATCTTATGTACGCATCTTGCTTATTATTATTTTTCTTACAAAGTTCTTGGAGCACAGAGCAGATATCAGTGATGGGAGCTGTGCAGCTGATAAGAGCCTGTGCTGCAGTGCCACAATAAAGCGTTTTTTTTCTGCGTACTCCCGCCATCGCCCACCGTTCAGTGGTGTTGAGCTGGATGGCCTATATCTGTTGTCATTCCTTTGTCTAGGTCAGTGTCTTTAACTGCTGCTATCAGCAGGCCATCAGCAGTGTAGTGAAAGTCAGTGATGATGCTGTGATGGGGAGAAGTGATACTGATAGAATCTCAGGCGTTACAGTGTTGTGAGTGTGGCATCTTCTTCTCTTTGTTCTCTCCCTTTGTCTCATTCAGCTCACTGTAGCTGATAGTAGCATACTGGTCCACAGTGAGCTCTGTTCTTGTGTGCGGTCCTCGTCGACATGTGCGTGTCAGTATATGGCGCGTGTGTGTGCGCGCACATGTCCACTGCTCGCTGCTGCCGCTGCCTCCCGTTACTGTGGCAACAGACTCGGCAGACACCTTCTCCTTCTTCTGCGAGCATGTGAAGGCTTTTCTCAGCTGAACCCTCGCTGTACTCTGTGTTCTGTTTGTGTGCATTCCCTTTGTGTGGACCCATGATCCAGTGTCATCTTCTCTGCACGTGTTGGTGGCTGTTAATACACACTAATGAATGTTTGCAGACAGATGGCACTGAATCTCTTTTCTTATTTGACCCCTTATCTTGCTTGTGTATTTATAATCATTATAACATATAAAGTGTGTGTTATGGGGAGGGGGGGTGTATCTGATTGTATCTAAATAAACTGATTGGGTTTCATTTCACAGTGTTTATTATTGATAAGAACATTTTAATTAACTACACTACTATACAAAGACCTTTCTTTGTCTCTGCTGTATGGAGGATTATTATTATTATAGGACAGTTCTCTGTACAGAAAATGACAAAAGGAATGTCAGTAATTTGATGTCTCTAGGAATAATTTAAAAAAGAAAGCTGCAGCAGCTGCATGATCACAGGCTGTAGCACCAGGTGCTTTACCCAGCTGACCGCTTCTGTGATTGGATTAGTCCATTTGACCTGCAAATTGGTTTTGAATGAGACACGGCACAACTCGTGGCAGAATCTGTAACTCTACGCTGTCAGTTATCTGACCATAATAAACCATTTCATTCTTGATGATATAACAAAAAAGAAAGAAAGAATAAGACTTGATCATAATTGGTTGTCAAAATTAAACAAATGACCTTTGACCTTATATATGAAACACTATAAAATATTAAAATTTAAAGCCAATAATTAAAAATACTCTCCACATGTTAAATCATTTATGATAAAATGGACAGTGTCCATGCGATGTGTCTTCCCTGCTGAATCCTTGTCCATGTTTGTCATGCCGCGCTTTAATTCTTAGAAACATGTCATTTCAGCTCTACAGCTCTAACCCAGACACACACGTATCGTGGTGTGCACGGGAACCTGTTGACAGAGCAGGTTGAACAGGAATGTGTCAGAGCGTATTGAATTCTCTCATATGTGTAAAATGAGGTGCACCGACCAGTCACACGTGTTTGTTTTCAGTGTGCCGTGTGTAATAGTGCGAGTGCATGAGTCAGAGAAACCTGAGGCTGTAAATAACTCTTACTGTAGCCCTAATTATGGCAGCTCTGCCACTGCAGCCCAGTTTGACTTTGGCTCATGCATGACCCCAACTTAGTACGTGGTGTCACATTTTCACAATCTTGTGATTGGGTCTGATGTTTCTGACCAATATGGAAAAGTGGGTCATTGGTGTCCATGCTGTTTTAGAAGATAAAAGGTCATGATATACTGTATGTAGCATTGGCCTTTTTCTGTGGTTATTCTAAATCACTGTTTCCTAATGTGGGGGTGGCAAAGGGGGAGGTGTGCTGAGGAAAAAAGCTTGGGAACCACTGCTCTGAATGATAACACCTATGTTGACTGCTGCTGTTGTGTATACCAGGGCAGTGGTGGCTTGGTGGTTAAGGAAGCGGACTTGGGTCTGGAAGGTTTCAGGTTTGAGTCCACCCTCTGCCAGGTTACCACTGAGGTGCTCTGAGCATGGCTCCGTCCCCACTCACTGCTCCACAGGCTCTTAAAGCTGCCCACTGTTCACTTTGGTGATGGGTTAAAAGCAGAGGTCACATTTGATTGTGTGCAGTGGTGTGCTGTGTCACAATGACAAGGAGTTCACTTTCCTACTTAAAACTTCAGCTGCTCTGGTTTTTATCGTAATTTCCTTCCATTTTTGTTTTTGTTAAAGCTAACAAGATCCATCCATCCATCCATTTTCATCCGCTTATCCGTTACCGGGTCGCGGGGACAGCAGTCACCACCCAAATCACATTGCACCATACCAACCCCCCAAACCTTCCTGCGGGTGGTGAGTCCACTGGAAGGTATTAACCGCCCTAACCGGGATTCGAACTTGTCCAGGAGGTGAACCCTGGGGGTCCACACCAATGACAGAGACATTGCCTCTGGGCCAAAGCGCCACAGCTAACAAGATATTTTGCAAAATGTTCCCCCTTTTTGTTAAATAAAACAGGGCAGAAGCAACATGGTAAAATGTTAGCCTTGCTGAAATGTTCTTTTTAAACGATTCATCCCAGGTCAAAAATCTCAGGTAAAACTGCTAAGTATCAATTTGTAAATTAAGCATTTTTATTAGCAAAATAAAAGCCTGCAGGTGATACCTCAGACACCTGGGCTGCACAACTGATCACTTGAAATGGACACGGTAAACAATTGAATAATTAAACAAGCAGAGTTAAGGAATACAGACAGGGACTCAGTGATGGGAGAATTAATAAGTGATGTTGATACAGTAAAGCCGGTAATTACGGTGAATTACCACCAGTCTCCTAAAGTGAAATGGAGACTCCGCCAGTGACAGGTAGACAGGTTCCTCCCTACAGTCTGGAATGAATTAGAGATGAAAGCATGGATAGAAGATGGTGGAGCTGTAGGAGCTGTACGAGCAGTGTCCTGGAATGACTGCTACTGATACTGAGACATCAATAATCAATTGTGGTGCAACACTAGACGGGTCAGCTGATAACAGCAGCCAGTTTGTATCAACATCTAGGTAATAATAAACAGAGAGCAGCAGCAGCAGCAGCAGCACCGATGCCCCTGGGCGTCTGCTGACTTTGAGGGATGACTGGTTTGGCTGCAGCGGTGCGTTATTATTGTTGTGGAGGGGAGGGGGAAAGGGGCTGAGTGAGGAGGGGGGTGAGATGGATGGCTATAAGGACAGATGAAGGAACAGGAGGAGAGATCATATGGGTGAGAGGGTGAAAATGAGATGAGGTGATAAAGAAAAAGCAGACATAAAATGACACGTCAGTGTCCTCCAGTGGCTGCTTTCATTTCAAACCGGTGTCTTCTGGTATCAGCAGCTTCCTTTATTTAATGCCGTGCAGTTTGACAGTACATGTTTTCATTTAAAAAAAAAAATCATCAACAGACGTACCCACCATTAACATTGACATTCTACTACACTGACACCTATGTGAAGGGTGAATGGGTGCACTGTCTCCTTGCATGTAGTTGGAGAAGAGTGAGTGGGGGTGGGGTTTGCATGTGGAAGTAGAACAGTAGACAGTGAGGGTGGTTTTGACAGTAGGGGTGTTGAAGTGTTGTGTGTTGAATTTTGCCAAACTGATTCCTTTTTTTAACATGTTTTTTTTCTGTGCAGGTATACGTGGAGTTTGATGATCAGGAGTGGGAGAAGAGAGAGTGGGTGAAGGTCTATGAGGATTTCCAGCTGTTTCTACTGGAGCACCAGCTGGTCTGGGCCAAGAGGAAGGAGGGAGCAGGAGGAATGGGAGCAGGTGGAGGAGCAGGAGGCCTGCTGCAGGCAACCAAGGCTAAACATATACAGTGGCCCGCGCTGGTAAGGGTTTTGTTTTCTATTTATAGAGTGGACACAGTAGAAGACGCAGTTAAGTGTATGACTAAGCTGTTTGTAAGGTTAAACTTAGCCCACAGTGTTTACCACAAACTCCTCGACGCTGCTGATCTAAACACAAAAGCTCCGACTCTTTCGTCCTCACCCTCAGCGACACTGCGCCTGCCTTGTTGACAATTTAGTTTCTAGAGACTTTTGACCCCTTTATTTGACACATCTGTTCGCCAGCTGTTTTGCTGCAGGGTTATTTCCGTTCAGTCACTATTATCAGAACAAAAAACGAGACACTTGAAAACTTCCCCTGTATTTCTCCCAGATGGTTTCTACAAATCCCATTTCCCGGAATGTTGTTAGACCCCTTAAAACTGTAATTTGTTGATTTGACTTCATTTATCAGGCAGTGGGACAAAGAAAAGTCTTCTACTGTTTTTTTCTGTCTGAAGTTGGAATAATGTGTGAAGTTAAGTAGGGAAATTGTTTGGGATTCATTCACAGACAATATTTGATCTCCATCTGTGGGAAAGGTTTCCAATAAACGTCTCTAAAAAATTTCTGGTAGAATCTAAAGTGGCTGTCATAGTTGCCTCGCGTGAACTCTTGAAAAGTTCTGCAGGGATGAGAGGAAGCCGACTGCAGCACACCAGCTCAACTATATTAGTGAGTCCAAGGCCATTGGCCATGAGAAATGGGCTAGGATTCATCAGGAATACTGCCAGGATCCTGTGTCTGGCCATATATCACGTTTGCAGCAGGTTGTAAGAGCCTGAGCGCTCCAATAAGTACTGAAGATGCTTGTCATAAAAGGGTTGAATAATGTAAAAACTGCATTAGTCAGTAAAAGTAGCAATTTGTGCCGGAAAGAAAGAAAGAACTACCTAGAATATGATGAGCTGTTTTATTTTCACTGTTAATGAGGGTTTAATCAGGTCTGCTGAAAGAGTCTGTGTGTGTGTGTGTGTGTGTGTGTGTGTGTGTGTGTGTGTGTGTGCGTGCAGAGGAGAGAGATGAAGTAAACAAACAGCCCGAGATGCTGGTAATGTTTTTATTTATCAGTGCACAGTAACACTGCGAGATGGTACTCCAACTTTGTGTAGGACCACAAGTACCCAAATACTGGTTCTGATTTGATTACACAGGAGTTGTTTTGGGTTATTTAAATAAAACTTGTCTCTCGGCGCTGTGCATGCATATGCATTACATCCGTTCAAAGCTAACATGTAGAGGTTTTGGATTTGGCTGTCCTCTAGCTTCTTCTAGTGAGGGGTTGTCTTTTTAGGGCATCATTTAATTATTATATTGACTATTGCTATCAATACTTTTAGCTTTCTGTTTATGTCCTTCCATCTCCTTGTAACTTAATTCACTCTAACTTGTTGTTGTTCAAAGGTCTTGCTTTTAAGATGATGACCTGGGTGACTGAGAATATCCACAACTATAAACTCTGAAGGATCTTTGAGCTATATGTTAGCTTTGTTAATGTCAGACAATTAATGTTATTTCTGGGCAACTTTTAAGCTATATATTAATATTAACAAAGTCTTGGTTGTGCTTATTAAGAGACATCTAACTCAAACTCCCGGGGTATCACGTCTTGGTTCCTGACTAATTAGTACTGATCTAAGCAGCTGAGGTCCTTGTTTACTTTCCCAGGCAACAGTAATCATTTCTGTGGCTTCAAAGTCAGTATTGATTTATTTAGTTAAAAATCCACTTATATGTGTTGATATAAAAGGTTGTGTTTTAAATTTTACACACAATGGACTATTTTTATGTAGTGGTTTACTGTGGGTCAATAGTGTAGTATTGTGAAGACACAAGACAGGCAAGAAACATTTGAAACACATTTGTCTGATAGTGGTTTGAATTGATCCCACTCTGTTCTGTGTGAGTAGTAAAGTATCAACTGTGGGTCTCTTTGTCCTCAGAGACACACGCACACACAAACACACGTGTTACTGTGTTGTGGTAGAAGTGTGGTTACTGTGGCATTTCTGTTGTTGTTTGCATGTGACACAGTTTCTCTCTCTCTCTCTCACACACACACACACTCAACACAACTGTGTTTGTGTTGACTTGCTTTTCCTTATTATAATTGGGGAGGGGGTTTCTTTGTGCATGTGAGTGATTCACTTTACATTATGTAATAGTACAGTGCACAGCGCCATCTGGCACACCGCAAGAGTGATAAGAGTTCAAAGAGTTCAACACACACTTTTCCCTCTGTGGCTTTTCTCCTGTCTTCTGTTTTTTCCCTCTTATCCATCATATTACTGCACCTCTGCTATTGTCATGGCAACTACTTCAGAAGTCTAGTGCAGATTCACACATAGAAGTGGCAAATGGAGCTGTGGAAAACTGACGGTCAGAAGAGAGAAAGTGAGGCTGTGGATTTGCTGTTTTTAATTGACAGCAGTGAATTGGTGAAAGTATAATGCTTTGAAGTGACAAATTAGTCAAGAGGGTTTTTTTAACTGTGTGGTTGAAATGAATGAAATAAAGGTCTCTCACACACACCTGTCAGTGTCTTGCTGCACACATGTTCCCAGCTCTAAGGGCAACATGACCTGGGTAGTTAAGAGCTTGGTGTCACAATTGATTAACCACTGGATCAATTAAGATCATTAGATTTACTGTTGTTTTGTGGCAGCCGTCAGACTGACACAAAGGCTAGTGCTGTGATGAAATCATGCAAACGGTCACAACAAATCATGTCTTGCTTCATGAGTTCAGGACTGAAGACATAGTTGTTTTTAGCGTAATCTTGCAAAAAACTTCCCTGAAGTTCAAGTCGTACCTTAAGCTTTTTAGACTAGTTATTGCTTATTGCCAGAAGAAGTAACTGTGAGCAGGTCAGACTGAGGGGGTTTTGGTCTCACTGGCAAAGAGCATGTGTAGTTAGCCCTTTTTGGATCATTTCTTTTTAGGGTTTTTTTATATCCTAATTTTCTGTGTGTTATTGTGCAGATACAGGAGAGGGTTTGTCAGTATCTGCTTACATGTAAACCAACAGTGTAGCAGCGAGGTATTGTAAGGCTGCCGTGTCAGATCCCCTGTAAACTAACCTGAGACGTGTTGGTTATTGTAGACTCACAAGGTCACACTGTCACAGTCACATTCTTTGTGACCTCTGGGTCTATAGTGGTCGCATCAGGACTGGTGGCTCATGCTGTTTACAAGTGTGTGTGTGTGTGTGTGTGTGTGAGAGAGAGAGAGTGATGGTCCTCTTTAAAAGGCTGCAGCTCTAATGTCAGCAGTGAGTGGAGCCTGGATCTGCCTCAGGCTGTGTGTTTGGGTTGGGCCTGATGTGTTGTAAAGTTCCCACTGACCCCACCCAGTTAACATGGGCTCCATAACTCACTGAGCCGTTTTCCCATCCCCCCCAAAACCCTACACACAGACACACAGAGGCAGGGAGGGGTTAAGTCACATTTGGCTTTAATTTAGCCCTCTTGTATTTCCCCAGCTCTGTTTTTCTAAGCTTGTTGCTTTTTCCCCAGTTTCCCATAGATACCACTCAACCACACTGTCTGCATTTACTCCTGTTCTTCCATTGAAAAGCAGCGGTTTGTGTGTCATGCTTCCATGGTACGATGAGGCTTGAGAAGTCTGCAGTTACATATATACAGATTCCATATATATATAGTTTAAGAAGGGACCAAAATGTCTTTTGGTGTTATGATACCACAGCTATCCAGATTTAAATTCAGTTGGGTCAGATTTACAACCCCCTAGACATACAGCTGACCAGACAGGGTTAAGCTGAGTGACATTTCTTCTTTGATTGGGACATGTTGTTGTGAGGGGAATTGCTTGTTGCTAGGCTACATTGCAGTGTTGCATTCTTGGTGTGCCATCTGTAGGAGTTCATGATTACATGCCAATTGTGATTCTGCATTATCACAGACTGGGCCACACTGTGGTTTTACCTGGACCACACGTGGCCCACGGGCCGTTATTTAAGTAAACTGTTTATATACTGTCTTCAATAACTACATAGTATAAAAACTGTAATTGTCCTTAAGAACAAACAACAACAGTCTTTTCTGCTTTAACTATTATACATCTGTAAAAATACAGTAGAAGGATCAAGAATCTAAGCAAACAGGTTCCACAGAGGAACCCACTACCACACAGCAGCCTTGGCTGGTGCGAGCAGAAACAAGCCCGGAGGGATGTCAACTCAGCACTTCTGTTAAAAACGCATGCAAAAAAAAAAAAGAAAAGAAAGAAAGAAATGGAATGCGGAATAAAAGAAAACTGAAAATGTCACAAACCCACATGCAGAGGTAAAACATGTCTGACTCTTTCTGCTCTGCTTTCCTCTGGAATTGTTTTTCTTCTGAAGAGAGGAAGTGTTCACTGCTCCCCATTCACTGCATTTTATGTGTGTGTGTGTTAGAGAGAGTGGTTGTGCGTCTCTGTGTGTGTAGGAAATGAGTCTTCTGTCAATTTCCTGCCTGCCGAGGGACTGATAAGGTGTTTAGTGTGGCAGACTTTACTCTTGCCGCATTTTCCTGCTGCACTCTCCGTTTTCCTCTCTGACATGCTCTCATTTGGCACAGATGTAAGTCCTGTGACTTCAGGAAAACTTGTGTGTGTGTGTGTTTTCTTTTTCCCTTTTTCTTCCAAGTCTTAAGAAAATACAACAGCCATATTTTTTTTTCGTCCTGTGAGCTCCTAGTCCAATGCTTTCCATGTTTTTCCCACTTTATATTAGCTCAAGATGAAGTGACATTAATCGTAGTTATGCTATTCAGAAAACAGGAGGGCCTGTTTCAATATGGGAAATACATTTCCATTTGATATTCTGTTCTTTCTATTCTATAAGATGTAGTTCACATTTTCATTTTATTGGTGTTTTTCTTTCTTTTTAATGAAGTTTGAAGTTAACTTATTTTAACAGCTGTCACCCAAAATAAAATGCTATTTTATTGCATTGAGATTTTTAGTATATTGTAATGTCTGTATTTTAAATAGAATATTAG